ACTAATTCTTTTGTGATTGAGGGTGATTTTGAAGCCCTACACATGTCTTGAAATTAATAAAATCTGCATCTATTTAGCTTTTGATCCCTCTTGGTTATGTGATTATTCCCCTGTGAATAGGGTTTAGATAGATTGTCTTAATTGTTTAAGTGCACAATTAAATTGTTAGGATTAATCTATTAATGTCAATTTAGGTTGTTTAGTACGGAATCGCTTTATTAACCTAAATAACTAGTGGCAAAGTGTATCCCTGCATACATAGGGGGTAATCACTCAAGATAACTAAATTGATCATATGAGTTTAGCCTTGATTCAGTAGGTCTCTCACAACTTAATGTTTTTATTACTTTGAATCTAGAGATCGTATCGTAGGTTATTCAATAAATAGGGAATTGGAGTATGACCATGTCTAGTCCAACAACTTAATAAGGAAGGATGAGACTTATCAATGTTTGGTATTTTCTAAGCTGATGTGATCAAGAGAGTAGAAAGTTAAAGAATGCTTTTATTATATGTAATTCATGTCTAGTGGTGGTGAATAAACCTTCAATCTAATTTCTCTTATTTATCTCTTTCGTGATTGTTTGCTTGTTTTTGTTTAATTTTAGTTTGTTAGTTTTTGTTGAATTTTTATAATTCGTGACAAACCCCTTTAAAAGTAGATAATTAACTAAGTTCACAAATCCTCTACTGGAAAAACCCTTATTTGCTCTTTGTTACTACATGACTTTGCATTAAAATTTAGTGAGGTAAAATTAAGTGTTGCATTTGCAAAATTAGTGGGGAAATTCCCTTTTCCTGAATTTTCTTAACTTTTGTGAAATTTTTTTTTTTTGTTTGTAATTTTTATGAGATTTGGTGTGTTTTTATTTAATTTTTAATTGAACGAGTTTTGATTTTCTAAATTAATTTATATGTTAATAATAATAACATGATTGCAATGACATGGACATTTAGAAGACGTCAAAGCTATCTACAAATTAACTATTGAAAACGTAACGAAGTTGTCAAAACAAGAGCTCAGCAGTGTCGCTTATGACTCATTAAATCAAATTAGGAGGTGGAAGAGACAGAAGAATGTTAAATACAAATGTGTTTAAGTTTCTTCGACATGCAAGGGTATGCAAAATAATCCGATCCGTTTTCAATCCGAAAAACCGAATATCTAGAAATCCGAATCAGATTTGGATTATAATTTTGAAATATTGTGCGTTTGGTTTATTATTTTGGATAGAATTTTGGAGATAGTATTGGATAGTTGGATAGGGTTATGATTACGAGAATAAGATTTACAGAATATGTGTTTGGTAGAGTATTTTGACCTTGATATTTGTGTTGAATATTTGATTAATATATTTTTTTATAAGTGATTTATTAATATAATATTTTATTACATTTTGTTAAAATAATATATCATTATATATATAACTTATCAAGTTACATTTTAATAATACTAAATATTTTATTGGTAATTTTGTCACCCGTATATATTAAAAAACAAAAACTCATATTAATTTCAAGTACTAATCCAACTGTTTAAAAACATCACATTAATACATATATGACAAAAGTACTAATTATCAATCCTTACAATCATTATTACATGTATACTCTATTAATAATTACGATATGGTTCACGCATGGTGGGTGGTTCATGGTAAATGTGTGACAGATATGGTGGTATGAGGTGGTTCACGGTACGAAGAAAACTGAGAAAATGAAACACAAATGCAGTGGAAAAAACTGAGAAAATGACACATAAATGCAGTGAAGAAAAACTGACAAAATGAATACAAACGAGAGAGAAGAAGAACTACAAACTTAACTGTCAGTAAAAAAAAAGCTGAGAAAATTAAAGTTAGGAATTGTAAAAGTCAAAACTGTCGATCAAATTTTTAAAGTCCTATTATTTGAATAATAAACCAAACGCTATTGCAAAAATCGGTTTCAGGATACAAATAAAAATAATAAGCCGAACAGGTCCAAATTTCTGGATCGGATACCTGATTGGCTTTGAAAAAAAGGGGATATCTGAATTCGATCCGGTTTTTTAAAAACAAATAATCCTAAATCGTTTTGTGCCTAACCCTAAATCCCTAAGTCTAATGAAAAAAAGAAGACCGAAGACTCAAAACAAAATCGACGCTTTTTTCCTTTCCTCACTTAAGATTCAACTCTTTTCACGATCGGGTATATTTACTTTGCTTTTTTCTTTGGCTTCCTTTGGTTTCATTACTGTTTCACACTTTCAGTCAAGACTTAACTCTCTTCATGATTCGGTTTCTTCACGACTCGGATTAGGCTTCGAATTTTGTGGTTACTGGTTACTTAGTTTGTTCTTCACTTCTTCTCCACGGTTTCTTCGGTTTCATTATTGTTTCACGCTTTCACTCAAGATTTTGAACTTGTTTTTAGAAAAAAGTCTAGTAAATCCACGACCAACGATTTCACTCAAGATTTTGAATTTGTTCGATAAAAGTATTCAATGAACCTGCGTTTCATAATCTCTTCCTATTGTATTATCTTTTTATTATGTTTCAACATCTGGGTTCATTTTGTAACTTTCAGTTTGATTAGCTATCAAGTAAGGTTAATTTCAATTTGAAGTTCAAATATTTTAACAAAAAATGTAAATAATGCATGCTTTGTGGTGAATTTTGATGTTAGTTTAAATTTGTTTGTTGAGTTGTATAGTTGACCGCCTCAGATTGAAATTAGAAGAGTCTGAACAAGAATTTAGTCGCTGCGATAGGATCTGGGTTGATGTCACTGCAAAATGTGTTCCTAGATTGTATTAGGATTTTATCTTCTGTTTTCCCTTTTATGTAATCTACTGATTCCTCTTATAAATATATATAAAATTCAGTGATATTTTAGAACTATTGTTTTAGCTTATTTTAATCTCCAATGTGTGCACTGACCTGTGGCTTAATTATTTGGTAATCAAGCATTATTTAATTTTAATTTTAATAAATTCTATCTTGGCTACTGAGTACTGAACAATGGAGGAGTTTGATATTTTAAAGAAGCATTTTTGTTAAATTCGAATCAATTTTGGATATCCGATTGATCCCATCTGAAAATATCAGATATCCAGAAAACTAATATCTAAAAATCTAGATCGGATTCTGATTGGATCAGCAAAAACCCAACCGGATTGGATATCTGGTTTTGAACACTATTGCAAGCTGAAACAGCTAGCGAGGCAAGGAGATAAGATAAATATGAAATAAAACATCTGTGGCTTCAATTCTCAAAAGGAAAATCATTTTGTAGTTTTCATGGAAACAATATAAGTTACAAAATTCAGTCATAAACTGTGTAAGTTTGAGATCTGGGATGCTTTTTTCCGTCGTTCAAACTAATAGACCGCTTGCTATAAGTTTTATCTAAGAGAATTCACCATAGTACTTCTAATCACAGAAACTTGAGAAAACAGATGTTGTACAAACTATTGCCAATTTTCTCAACAAAGTAATCACTCTGGAAATTCAATATTCACTTGATCGTAGAATATTAACATGCAAAACAGTTCAAAAGAAAAAGTAAAACATTTGCAATAAGTGTCCAGAAATATGCTGCCTTTAAATGGAAACTTATAGAAAACCCAACGTAAGTTTTACAACAAATCAACACATAAACCAACTATAACTACAAGACAGACCTCTCCTTCCACCCCATTGATCAGGAGACATGGATTAATTACAATAAGCCTGCATCAAGCATACCGGAAAAGTTTTGTGTATACCATCAACAGTTAAAGGTCTGTTTGGTTAGTTGTTTAGAATAGTACTCTATGCTTAATAGCATTTTTAGAAAATAGGATAAGATTTTGAAAAGTTTTTGGTATTTTTGTAAATATCATTTTCTTAAAATATTTAGATTATTTTAATCCTTAGGTTTATTAATTTAACTAAACACTTTACATAATAAAAGTTTATAAATTAACAAAAACGCCTCCCCTACTCATCCATATATTGTCGACAACCAACCACCGTCGCCGAAAGGTGGTCAGAATCTATCAGAATGGTGCATGATCGACTAGATTTTGCCAATCGTGCACCGATCTGGCCTTTTCCAATCAGATTTACAGCCACAAATCTAGTCGTTGTTGACAGCCAAGATATCTGGCCGTCGTCAACAGCCAAATCGTTGGTCGTAGATTTAACCGTTTCTGACCAAATCCATTATGGATCTGACCAGAAACGGACAGATCGACGCGACCAACCAGATCCAACCGATCACACATCATTATGGTGCCAATGATCGACGACGACGATGGCTACTGGCAGGTGATAATGGCTTGGGTAGGTGAGGGTGTTTTTGTTCATTTTAAAACTTTTATTGAGAAAGGTAATAGTTAATATTTTGAGTTAGAATACAGTAGAATTGGATTTAAAAAGAGCTGAAAATATTAAAACAAATGTGTATTTGTATAAGATTGGATAGGATATTGAGAAAAAATGAAACAAAGGAGCCTAAATGACTAGTAGCCATACAATCGTTACCACCCTTGCAGATGCATAAGAAGAAAAATAATCCTCTACAGAATTGGAAACAGCCTAGCTTCTACTTATAGATAATCAGGGTACATATATTAAATTGTTCAAGCTACTTCTTTATTATCATTCCTCGACTGACCAATATTATGATTGTAAACCATTACTCATTCTGCAAAAACTGTCTTCATATACATAGATTTCCTACATTTGGGACATAAGGAGGAGGTAACAATGTCTGGCCTTATTTCAGAAAATTACATTCTCACAAATAAACATAATTCATTAACAATTCAAGCTAACAGAAAAAGAAAAATATTGAAATTTTTCTTTATACATTCAGTCAAGAATAACACACATTAAATCACATTAGTCTTCAGAAAATGAATGAATATCTGCGTTCCCACACAAAATTGAAGCTAATCCGAATTCCTGAAGTCCACATATTGTAAAAGATCTAAAGATAGCTCCACATTTACAAAACGGAACAAAAACTTGGCATTACCTAAACCAATTCAATTAAGAAAGCTCCAACATCCATAAATTGGTAACATAGCTATACACTATAATGCAACTCAGAAACAGTGAATAAAAAAAAATTAGCAATAATTCAACAATTCAAGAAACACCAATATCCATCGCATTAATTTCAATCAAACCCTAATCCGAATACAAAGCCAAAAAAACAAAAAAAAAACAAAAATTCCACAGAACATTAATAACAAAACACACCAATTTTTTTTTTTTTTTTTTGATTTCTTGAAAAAACCATCAATTCACTTAGCCACCATCCTGGCAATAAAATCTTCGTACCGGATTTTCCCATCCGACCCGACATCCACTTCCCGAATCCACTCATCGAACTCGGAGGGCTCCAGCTTCTCCCCAATAGAAGTCAATATATGCCGCAGATCCGCCACAGAGACAAACCCGGTTGAATCCTTATCCAGCACTTTGAACGCATCACGCAACTGCCGATCGAAAGGCTCCGGTTTCATGTGCTTTGCCATCAGTTCAAGGAACCGGGGGAAATCAAACGGAGCCGTTAGTTTTTCCTCTGAAATTATCGATTTCAGTTGGGCCTGTGTAGGATTTCCCCCCAGTGATCGCATAAGGATCCCCAACTCTGACGGCGCGATCCGACCGTCACCGTCAGTGTCGAATAATGTAAAGGCCTCCTTCATTGACGAGACCTGGTCGTCGCTCAGATCCTTGCCCATTTTTCTCGGTTCGGGTTTTTGAGTTCTCTCTCTGTATCGAGGGAAATGATTTGATTTTCAACTTGTAAATGTGAATGGCTAGAATTTTGTAGGTTGGCTTTCTAAGACTAAAGGTGAGATTACGGAAAGAACGACATCGTTTTATATGAGGGTGAACTGGTCTAGCCATTCGTGACTTGTCAATCTCAATTATTTTGTCTGGGATGTGTTAAAGCTTGGAGCATCGGAAATTGGAATGGGAGTGGTGGATGACTTGGGCCCACATTAGATCCTTGTAATCTTTTAAAGTTGTACAAAAATGGATTACGAGCCCAAAGATTATTTAAGAGAAAAAATGTGTTACTTGTTAATTATAATGCTACTTAATGTTTAATTGAATTGGTCTAAGATGTTAGATGGAATGAGTTCACAAATTTATGCCTCGCATGACAACGCAGAATCATGATTACACAGCTCTGATGATACCAAAAAGAAGAAGCTCAAACGAAATTGTTATTCTTAGTTCCCGAATGGTCAAATTTGTGCCACGTGTCCCTAAAGTATGTGAAAAGTGAAAACCCAACGGCTAGGATCCTGCCACATGTCATTCCCTCTGTATTTGACTTTCTTTACAAGGTGGTCACTGTCATAAGTACAAGCTAAGATGTCATTAGCATGGTCTGGTCTGCAACAACCATGGGGATTACAAATCCATATCCTAATTAGGGGGATTATGCATGCAAGAAACCCCGTAATACCCACTCTTAACCACTGTCAAACGAGATGGGTATAAAAGGAGCCCTCAACCTCCGTTTCAAGGGAGGATTTCAACATTAGTAAAGCTCAAGAGGAAAATACACTAACCTTTTAGAGAGAGTTAAATAATGGTTAGGTCACTAGGACTGAACATCACTGGTTCATACTCACGGACTTTCCCTTTTGTAATCTCATTCAACCCTATAACACCCCACAATAATAATACGATAGTGGATGTAGCTTTGGTTCTCATAACTACCAAACCACTATAAAATCTCTTGTGTTCTTTACTTTGTTACATTGCTTTAACAACCTTGCTGGTTACCCTAAACCATGTGTACATTTTGCTCGGTCCCTCCTGAGGCCAACCAAGTATCTTTAGTTGATACGATTCATCGTATCAACATTTTGGCACTAGAAAATGGCCTCCCCCTTTTGAACAAACTTTGCATAGGGAATCTCTATCTATGCATACACCAGTTACAAGCTTTGCGAAAACAAAAAATGGTCTTAAGCAAAACTTCCAAAAGCCAGGTGGCTGGCCTTAAGGAAGCTAGCCACCAAGAGGTTCCTCAAACCAGTCACTTATGATGGATACACTGAAATCGTTAAGTAATGTGATACAAGCTTTACAACAAAACACACCTAGGATGAGGAACATGCAATTGAGACCTCATTCGCAAATGAACACTCAAAGCCAACCAACACCGAGATGGGCTTCGAATCCACCTCCTCAAGGCTGGAAAATGTACAACGCCCCCAGGTGCAAACCAAGAGAGAAACGTGAGAGTGAGAAGCCTACAAGCAAAACTCCCTCGATAGGAGGCCCGACAATGAACCAACGTTGAGGTAGGCCGTCGTGAAACCATTTGCCTAGACGACAGCCAGCTCCCACCAGTAAGTGCGAGTGCATGATGCAAAAGAACCAACCTAAAGGATGACAACACTTACTATAGGTTTATAGATCAATTTAACGTAGCAGAATTTAAAAATATTTTCGATCTGCAAACTAAAATTCCGCGATCCTTATACCGATTTGCATTATTTAAACACAAAATAAATATTAAAAATTTAATAACAATTTCATACTAGCTTTTGGAGGCTCCTTCAGCTGATTTTGTGGATTCCCTTTCACTCCAAGGAAGAAATGCACGAGCGGTATCCACACGAAGATAGGACGAAAATCGCTAATTGATTTATTTGCTAGTTAAATCAATTAGCTTTAAGGAATAAGAAGTGCAGAATTTTTATTTGAAATTTTTTTTTTCTCCCCACAATGATGAACACATTTTTGAGAGAGAGTGTAGGGGTGGCTAGGGTTTTCTTTTTCCAACTAAAGTTATATATGTTTTAATTTTTAAATTGCACTTAAATAGTGCAACTAATTAAAACCCTAATCTAATTAGGAATAGCCATCAACTTATTCCTTTATTATAATAGCATTACCTTGTATAATTATAGTATTTAATTAATATTATTATTATCCATAAATATTAATATTAAATTATATATATATATATATATATACACACACACACACACACATACACAATCTTACTAATTTTAATTCCCATATGAAATTAAATATAGACAACGACCTTAACAAATTTAATTGGACTATGAGATTACCAAATACCCTTTCATCTTAAAATATGAAAAATACCCTTCTCATTTATTTATCCTGTATCTATCTTCTATGTGTGTGACCCCGAAGGCTCCTCATCATATCGATAGTGAATAGTATCGTGATTGACACTTAATCAATTGTCTCACTAAATACAGACCAAGATTGGCCTCTAACAAGGCATCATGGCTACCCGATAGATTCGAATTTAGCGAAACAGTTACCTATCAATGATATAGTTACTGTGCAATCAAATCATTATCTCATCAAGGTTGAGGTACACAAATAATGTCAACCTCAGAAGATGTCCTTGATCCTTTTGTATTCAGTTATTTGACCAACGACCAGAATAATAATTGGATTGAGTGACAACTTAATCTCACTGTGGCCACAGAGTTTAGTGTCTTTGCCATTTACCGAATTACACAATGAGATAATTTCTCCCATACCCAGGAGTGATGAATCCTTTGTCAATCCACCATAGTCTTGATACACTTCCAATGTACCCAGCCACTACCGTTCTGATAGTCCTGAATAGAACTACGTTGAGCTGGTGTCAAACTGTACCAATTGCTGCACAAGGCGCTCCATTGATCTCAAGTCTAAGGATGACATGCACTACCATCCATTAGAGGATTTATTCCACAGACACTAGGGTTACACTAGGGTTACCATCTACGTGGAATCCTCTAGTGGGTCTATCCGGTAAACTAGCCTATGGCAAGCAGGTTGTCGGCAAACAACCTTGACAAGTGAGATCAGTCACTATATTTCAACATGGTCGTTCAACAATATGATAGCTTTACCATATTATTTGTGTCCTAAGTTAGAATAATACTAGGGCTACGGACATTTCTACAACGGCCACCATATGTGATCATAAGGTCCTCACTATCGAGATTTGAAACACTCGATACCCTCGCCATGGTTCTACCATTCTAAGGACGTACAACACAACATACAATGAATATGAATTACGCAATGTAGAAAAAGCCTTTTATTGATTATAAACATTCTTGTATAGAGTCAATATTACAATAGTGGATTGGCTCTTGGGCACCTACTCCAGCATAGTGGAGTGTATTTGAGATTGAATTGTCTGATCTCCATGGCCTATTGGATCAATCTTCCTGAGGATTCCGACTTCTGGAAGATCTTGCAAAGTGGGTAGTTCATTAGGATCAGGATTGTGTGAGCTTGAAAGTAGGGTTGTAGCTTCTGAGACGCGGCCAAGAAGACTACGACCAACTTCTCCATTTCGAGATAGCGTGTCTCTACATCGAATAGGTGTTTGCTTATGTAGTAAACCGACTATTGGATATTTTCTTCCTCTTAGACCAGGGCCGCACTGATGGCATGCAATGAAACGAAAAGATATAACAAGAGTGGTTCACCTAGAATTGGTTTAGATAGAAGTGGAGGCTGCCCGAGGTGGTTCTTCAGCTCTTGGAAGGAGCACTCGCATTGCTCCATCCACTTGAACTTCTTGTTGCCCTTTAGTACGTCAAATAAAAATTGGTATTTTTCTTTGGCTCCGGAAACGAACCTACTGAGGGCTGCAATATGCCCGATCAAGCTTTGGACTTGCTTTGGCTTGGTTAGGCTCTTCATATTTAGTAGCACCTGGATCTTTTTTGGGTTTGCTTCGATCCCATGTTAATCTACCATGTAACCAAGGAACTTTCTTGAACAAACCCAAAAGCATATTTCAAAAGGTTAAGCTTCATCTAGTATTCCCTTAGGATCTGGAACATTTCTCCAAGATGTTTCACATGGTCTTCTTCCTTATGTGAATTGACCAACATATCGTCAATGTACACCTCTATCGTCATTTCGATGAGACTGGCGAACATCTTGTTCACTAGTCGTTGGTAAGTTGCCCTAGTGTTCTTTAGGCTAAAAGGCATGACTTTATGGCAATAAAGGCCTCAGTCTATGATGAACAAGGTTTGTGGCTCGTCGGGTCCATACATCAGATTTGATTGTATCCCGAGTAGGCATCCATGAAGCTGAGTAGGGCATTCCGTGCAGTTGCGTCCACCAATTGGTCGATCTAAGGGAGGGGAAAGTTGTCTTGCGGACAAGCTATAATATACTCTTTAGCTAGTAATTCTTTAAGAATATATGATAAAATCCACTAAATAACTTTTGCAAACATATTTACATAGAGGTATATAATGTAAAATCCGAAAATTCTAATTTTACTTCATATAAATATATATACAAAATAACTGATGTACTTTAATAAGTACAAGATGGTCTTGGACAGTGCTGCCAAACTCCTCTGCTTCTTGATGTCCCACCTGATCGTAAATCATCAAGTACCTACAAAACAGTAGAATAACAGAGTGAGCACTGATTGCTCAGTAAGTAAACCAAACTGCACTACTGTTTTTCCTCCATTACTCATGTTCTGATTTTCCTTTTCTCACTTTAATCTTTGATAATATTCTTCATTCTTTTCTGATATTCTGCATTTCTTTCTGATACTCTGATTTGCTACTTATCAACGTGCAAAGACAATGAATAAAACTGTTCATCGTCGAGCACATAAGAAATACTTAATCATGTAAGTAGCATAATACATATGTAGAATAATAAGCTGTACTTAGGAAAGAACTTTCTTTTCTTTTCTGTTATCTGTCTCTTATGCTGTATCTCTTTCTTTTCTTCTCTGTTTCTCTTTCTTTTCTTTCTTTCTATTATGGTTTGCTGATCAGACTAGGTTGATGCATGGATTTGGAACCTTAGCCGTGTGAGTGTATACTGGGTACAGTCCTCATCTACAT